CGGGTGAATCTCATCCCTATTCGTTACAGAAACTTGGCAACTGAAATTCTAGCTAACGCTGGCTCCCAAACAGTTGTGCATTCTACTGTGACAAAGCTTGCGTCCACCGTTGTCACCCTAAATTGTGATTTTGAAACTCACTGCTTCCATTCAATCGCCGCGACAACAGAACCTCAGATCTTCGACGATGACGAATGTTTCTGTAGCAAAATATAAAATCCCTTAACTAGTCTTTCGATTAGCTGCAAAATCCAACTGATACAGAAAGCGCGCTACATGGGAGTTGGGATGATAATCCAACTCCCTCTGGAGCAAAAGAGACCAAATAAACACGGAATGCCGGATTGGGGTGACCTGTCGTTATTTACGAGTGGCTCAGCGAAATTTCCTATTGGGCATGGCCTACCAAGTCTGTCCTACAGGGCCAAAACAATGTTATCGTGCCTAAGTCGAAATGCCAGGATTGCCGATACTTCAGTCTAGTCAGTGCCACAGACGCGAAGATCTTTCTGACCAGTCTCCTGAACTGCTGTCATGTACTCAGGGATGCTTAGACTCGGTAAAACACACTTTTACCGCCCCAGTAGCGGCTGCTCAGGGCCAGGAAAGGTGGTCAGTTTACAGTGAATGCACCGTTTCTGTTCCGTTGATTAAACTATAAAAAGGGACATTTTAAGAGCAGAGGAATGTGATTAAACGTGGTTGAAGCCCTCCAAACTAAATGTCTGCGAGCCAGTAATTACCGACACGGAGTTTCGGGCACACGCAAAAAACGGTGAGGCGTCTGCTGTCCACGGTGGCGTTCGGTAAGGCCGTCTTCTTACTATTCCTCTTGACTGGAAGGCTAATGCTATTCAGGTTACTACATAAGCGACGAATTGCGAGTACGGCTGGGAAAGAATTCGTCTGCCTCAAATCTCTACTATGCAGATGACTACGGGTAGAGTATTACTGTGAAAGCGGAGAGTAAATGGAGACAATCAGCTGTTCAGCTTAACGCGCTCTGTGTTGTCGACGGAGAAATGGCGAACTGTACACAACCGGACAGCGAGTTCCGCGGTCGACAATAACACCGTTAAAGGCCGTCGCAAAAAATTATGCAACTGGGCACGCCGTAGGCCTCTGTCTGAACATGACTTATCTACGGGAGGGTAAATTAACAATGGGCAACGGTTCTGCAATCGGTCGTATGCGAATTGGTGGATCTGAGACTTCGATCAGAGGTATTACAGAATGGGAGAGCGCGGGTAGTGCTGGTTCTCAGCGCTGAGGATCAAAGCGGGAAAATAAGTTCTTGCGGCATCTGCTAGAGGTTCATTTGCCTAATGACTATTCAACTAAAAACACCGACTCGTCATTAAGAAAAAATGAGTAGGAGCCGACCATCCAGACAGAGGGATCACGGTCCATAAGTTACTTATAAACCATGCCAAACATGACAAACGATCAAAACCTTGTTTATTACATTCGTCGTCTACGTTCATATCATACACCCCAGTCCTTAATCTGGCGATTCATAGATGGCTGTATTCTTCCACTCATTCTTTATTGTTCTCCAGTTATTTTTCCAGCTTTACTTTAAAAATATCTAATTATTTTTAAACGTGTCATGCGAATGCTCGCCTCAGCTGCTGGTGTTTCCTAACATCTTTCAGTTGACATCATCATGCAGCGACACTTCAATACGGTGGAGCAATTTGCTGACCGAATTCTGAATGACACCGTCCATCCCCTTCATAATGAGTTAATGGCTGCGAAATTCTTACGCCTCATGCGTCGATGCTTCCACCACATCCCTTGTCGCACTCCGGCTTATCAGAATTCCATACTGCCATTTCTAGCCCGGTATCTCACCTGCAAAGATGCTGAAAAACAAAAGCTAAAACTTGATCTTGCACCTTAAAGTCCTTTTTTTCATATATAATTATGTCCGCCCGTCCAATACCTGTTAATATCTATGGTAATCACTGTGTACTGGAGAACCGTTTTTTGCTGAAAGTTTTGAATGTTATTTTCAAAATAAGGCATTCCTCTCTCTCTCTCTCTCCCTCTCGCAACAAAGAATCTAGAATCCGGGAGCCTTGCCTAGCCTGGCGCCGTAAACGCCCAGGTATGACCCTCCACCGGTAATCGTTGGGGAAGTCTTTGGTGGAAAAAATGAAAGTCGAAGTCTAGCCCTCCCCTTATCCCTCATAGTATGGCCAGAACTCGTAGAAATGTCCACGCCATAGCGAGAGACGAGAACAAGGACAAACGCAACTTCGCGTCTCGAAAGTGGCCAACAGTCAGACGAGATTGTCCGCGGTAAAGGGCTACGGCTTCCTCAGAAGCCTAACCATACCCGTTCAATCTTACATGGGGGCTACCATTTGCACCAGACCCCAGGCTCGTTCGACTACCCCTTTCCCATAGTGAGCCTTCGCCCGTAAAATTCGACAGACCAGGTCTCTGGGCCCTATGACAGGAATGACCAATGACTGGTCTACCACCAAGTTTTATCGCGACGAGGCAAGGTGGTAAGGGAAGCAGCGACTTCGTCCCTTCGAATTCTACAATTACTGGGAACCAGCAGAACACTTCAAGTCCCGTGGGAGCTGATCGGACACGAAGCAGAGTCCACGCACGCCTCATTTCGTCCAGTCACTGCGCCCAACCACATCTTAAGGAGGCCCAGCACGACAGCTCATTGGTACGGGACGGAGGGAAGTGAGAATAAGGTAGGTGCTCTCCAAGTCAAATGCCTAGTACCCTCGTTACAAACAATCACGCACACCACTAATCCATCGTGACGAGTCAAGTCGCAAGCCAAGGTCGGTAAATACTGATGCGGCCCGACCATACTCGAGATTGAGGACCAGGCTGCATTGATTACCTTTTAGTGGGGACTTAACGGACCCCCTCGGGTATGACACATTGACGGGCTGTCTAGCCCCTCGAGTTACTACGCGCGCACACCGACCGTCTTTGTCTTGCTACCGAGACATGGGACGAAATAGGGAGGTACATGGAAAGCCGCCGCTTCGGGGTCAGGGGGCGAACCTCACTGCTGATGACGGTTGTGTATGCACAAGACGGGGAGAAGGCCATATTACTGGACATGTAATTTACAAGGGCATAAAACATTCAAATACGAGCGATCTGGATTTGCAAATGATACAAAATTAATCTGAAAGTGATAATGATAGGCAAAATATGCTGGGTTTGTGTGCAGTCGAGTGTACGTCCTTTCTATCCAGAACAGCTGACACACCCTTCGGGATTGTTGAGACTGCAAGAGATAGCTTCAAGGTTCTTCTTATAAACTTTCGCAATGTAGCTTTCCTCTGGAGCTTTGTTCTCGTCATTCTCTTCTGCCATCTTGGGGAGTGAAACTGATTTACGGAATCCATTGGCCAGGATGGCACTGATCTCCTTGTTATTTATGGTGAATTGGATGGGGTCCGCCGCGGGCCGTGTCCGCAGGTAGTACATACCTGTCTTCAGGCCCTAGAATAGAAATTGGAGGCAAGTCAGTAGTCGGGAATAGAGGTGGAAAGTAAAACGGGCACATGGCGTCATGAAATAAATGGTCACCTTTTTCCAGGCATAAAAATGCATGCTCGTGATTTTTCCGTAGTTGGGCTGCGCCATGTGCAGATTCAGAGACTGGCTTTGGTCAATAAACGGTGCACGGTCAGCCGCGAGATCAATAATTTTCTTCTGAGGCAACTCCCAGACTGTCTTGTACAGGGCTTTAAGGTCATCGGGAATACCCTGTATGTGCTGAATAGACCCTTGATTGGCGACAATGGCTGCCTTGAGATCTTCAGACCACAAATCAAGGTCAATCAAATCATGAAGAAGGTATTGGTTAACAATCTGGAACTCGCCACTGAGGACTCTGCGAGTGAAGACGTTGCTAGTGGCTGGTTCGGTAGACTCTGTGTTTCCTAAAATTTGAGCCGTGGAAGCCGTTGGCATCGGCGCGAGCAGAAGACTGTTTCGGACTCCATGGCTAAAAAGGAACGAGTTGGCATTTATTTCAGGTGGGGGATAACGGTGCAGATGACAAGGTCGGTCTAGAAAACTAACTCACAGTGCGATCCGCTTACGTAATCCTGCCCAATCAAGACCAGAGTGTTTAGACAACTCCTCAGTATCGACTCCCCACATGTCCGGCTGAAGGATGCCTTTGCTGACGGGACAGCCAGGATAAGATTGGAAAGGGCCAAGCTTTTCTGCCAGTTTGCAGGAGGCGTTCAGAGCAGCAAAGTAAATAGTCTCGAAGATGCGCTTATTTAGGGCAGCTGCTTCAGGACTGTCAAATGGATAACGCATCAAAACAAATGCGTCGTATAGTCCCTGAACACCTATGCCGATGGGGCGGTGGCGCATGTTGGATTTCCTAGCCTAAATGAGAGAGAGAGAATCATAAGCACAAGTAACAAGAAGAACTGGAGGAAAAGAAGAAAACGATGTGTCGTACCTCTTCGACCGGGTAATAATTTGCGTCGATAACCTTGTTCAAGTTCCGCGTGATGACCTCCGTAACGTACTGCAGCCTGTCGAAGTCAAAAGTCTTGGTCTGAGGATCCACAAATCTCGACAGAGAGATGGATGCAAGATTACAGACGGCAATCTCATCGGGTGAGCTGTATTCAACGATCTCTGTGCACAGGTTTGAGCATTTAATTGTTCCCAGGTGTTGATGATTTGACTTGCGATTGCAGGAGTCCTTGTACAGCATGAATGGGTTGCCAGTCTCGATTTGCGCTTCAATAATAGCATACCTACAATGGGGAAACCTTGATTAGCATGCTCTAGTTTTTAAATGACGAGACCCGTTAGGGCAGCTCAGGCAAAACATACCACACTTCTTGGGCTGGAAGAGTCTTGCGGCCTTTCCCTTCCGACTCGTATTTTGTGTACAACTTTTCGAATTCTTCACCCCAACAGTCGAATAGACCTGGACACTCATGAGGATCCATTAGAGTCCACTTGTCGTTGGCTTGGACGCGTCGCATAAATAGGTCAGGAATCCAGAGAGCGTGAAAGAGATCACGAGTTCTAGTTTCTTCAGCGCCAGTGTTTTTGCGCAGCTCTACAAACTGCAGAATGTCTGGGTGCCATGGTTCTAGGTAAATCGCGAAGGCGCCTGGCCGTTTGTTTCCGCCCTGATCAACATACCGGGCGGTGTTGTTGTAAACGCGGAGCATTGGGACCAAACCGTTGGACTCTCCATTTGTACCCGCTATAAAAGTACCCTTGCTTCTGATGCAGTGAACGTTGAGACCGATGCCGCCAGCATTTTTGGATATAAGCGCACACTGCTTTAATGTATCATAAATGCCCTCTATGCTGTCGTCCTTCATGGTGAGAAGATAACAACTGGACATCTGGGGCAAAGGGGTCCCCGAGTTAAACAGGGTTGGAGATGCGTGCGTGAACCACTTTCCGGACATAAGTTCATAAGTCTACATGGACAGGGATAAAAATACTGACTAGTTAGCTAACCTCCAAGGCAG